GTCTTCCTGACTACAAGTCCAGCAATAAATACACTACATCATCTAATGGAAAAAACAACAAAAGAATCAAAAACTGAATGCTTCAAAATCATATGGACCAAGCTTGGCCCCAAAGAGATATGAAAACAGACTCCTTTGCAGAAGTGAGACCATAGATCTGAAATATAGTATATATCATAGTTTTCTGGTCATGTGGGTTAGTTTTACAAAATGATTTTTTCTTAACTTTTTTTTTTTGGTGAGGGGTTAAGTGACTTGCCCAGGGTCACACAGCTAGTAAGCGTTATATGTCTGAGGCTGGATTTGAACTCAAGTCCTTCTGACTCCAAGACCAGAGCTCTAGCCACTGTGCCACCTAGGTGCCCCCCTAACTCTTTTTAAATTCATTATTGGGGAGAGCCCAGGGGAATGGAGAGGTGAGGAGCCAGTAGGAAATTTATTGATTTTTTTTTTAAAGCAACTTTAGAGAAGTGAGTGGTGGGGTGAAAAATCAGACTACGAAGGGTTAAGAAATAAGTGTGAGGTAAAAAGGTCAAATAAACCTGTGTAGATGTACTTTTCTAGTTTATCTGTAAAATGGTGGCAATATAGGATGATGACTTGAGGGTTAGTCAAATTAAATTATTTTTAAGAACGGGAAAGATTCAGGTATCTTATCTTCGTGGGCATCAAAGAAAGTGCCAGTGGATAGCTCCATCAATCAATGAGCATTTAAGTGCCTATAATGTTCTGGGCATTATATTTAGCATTGTAGATACAAGGATGAAAAGGTCTCTGCTCTCAAGGAGCTTCCATTCTATGAGCAGAATATATAAGTAGATACAACATACAAAGTAAATAAAAAGTAATTTTGAGGGAAAAGCCCTATAAGCTGGAAGGTCTCAAGAAAGGTCTAATTTAGGAAACTGCACTTAAGCTGAACTTTGAAAGAAGCTGGAGATTCTCAGAATCTGAGATGAGGAGTGAACATATTACAAGCAGGAGGCATAGCTTATTCAAAATTCACAGATCAAATGTTATGTGTAAGGGTCAGCCAGTTTGGCTGGACCACACAGCGTAGGAAAAGGAGAAATACGCAAAAAGTGTAGAAAGGTTAAGTTGGAACCACACTGCAGAGTTTTTATGTTAAACAGAAGAATTTGTAATACATCCTAGAGACAAGAGTGAACCAGTGGAGCTCACATCCAGTAGAGGATGGACATGTTCTGTGCTTTATGAACAGCATTTTGGCAACTGTAGAGGATAGCCTGCAGAAAGGAGAAAATGTAGTCAGAGAGACCTATCAATCAATAAGCATTTATTAAGCTCCTCCTAGATTGGGCACAGTGCCTGAGACATAAAAGATAAAAGCATGATACGCTTTGACCTTCAGAAACTTACACCCTAATGGGGAAACATGTATACATGTAGGTATTTACAAAGGTAACTTTGACACTTACTAGCTGTGTGACCCGGGGCAAGTCACTTTACCCCACTGTCCAGCCGAAAAAGAAAGAAAGATAACTGTGTTTTGAACATGTTGACTTTGAGATGCATGTAATACATCCAATTCAAAATGCCAAATCAGTGATTTGTGTCTTGAGACTGGAACTAAGAGAGAAACCATAGCTAATAGAGATCTGGGAACCATCTTTGTAGAGATTATAATTTAGCCCATGGGCATTTATAAGATCATCAAGAGATAGCATAGAGAAGAATGCCCAAGGGTTTTTGAGGGTACATTTCAAATGGGTACGAGGACTGAGAAAGAGTGTCAACCAAGTACTGAACTCTAAGAAAAGGAAAATGACATGAAGACTAGATGACTATACCCAAAGATCTAGATAGAGTCATTCAGTCAATAAACATTTATTAGGCACCTACTATATTGCAGGGACTGGGCTAAGCTGATGTGACAGAAATTCATGAACCTAAAATGGATAGGTTCCTAAGAGGCAGAATGAGGCTCTGGAAGAGGCACCAAAAAGTAAGAAGTACAGACAGTTCCAGCTTTAAGTAAGTAGACAGTTCTGCAGACCTCTACATAAAGTGATTTTTATGTAATTCGAATTTACCAGCAGACATGGGGAAGGAAGTGAGGCAGGAAGGAGGCTGGCATGTAGTTCAAGCACATGTGCAGTTCAGGGATAGAGAAGAACAGGAAGAACAACACTTAGAACAGGGTCAGCCACATGGGGGACTGACCAGCACCAGGGTGGGGGTGGGAGAGAACATGCAGCAGTGTGCACCAGATGTCTTGGGACCAGACACATGCACATGGGGCACAGACAACGGTGCTGTGAGATTCCAGGAAAAGGTCTCCTTTATCAGAGCCCCGAGGTCTCAAGCCGAGCCCTTGATCTTCCATTCTGTTTTCACTTGGAGGAGTTTTTTTAGGGTTCTTTTCTTTGGGGATTTTTTGCAGGAGAACACACAGTAACAAAGTTAAAACAGATCATTTTTATGGGATACAGATTTCTTTCATAATCTTTATGTAGAGTTGAACTTGCGAAAAGGAAAAACTATCTGTATATTTATTCTTCCTCCTGATCCAGTAGGAGGCAGGGAAGGGGGCCAATTCAACATCTTCCCCTGCAGTTTGCATACTGACTTGGAAACCACAAATTAACATTATCTATGTTGTATAGTATTTCTATTTTATTAAATTTTTTTGAAATCAAATTTATTTGTTAAACATTTCTTAAATGCACGAAGGTATCTGTATGGCCCAGGAGTTTCCATGAGTGTAAGAGATAAGAAGGATATGAGAAGAGGTCTTATGAAAGGAAGTTTGCTATCAATAGAAAGAAATCTTCAAAGGGCAAAATGGAAAGGGAGAAAAAGGAAAAAGGGAAGAGTGTAGATGACAAGAGAATAGACAGAGATAAGGGAGAGATTTTTCCAAGAATCAAAAGGATTCAGATTTACAAAGCCCTAGGGCATGGTTTTCTCAGAGAGTGAATGAAGCAAAGCACTTCCCCACATTTCAATATTGGAAACAGCTTTGCAGATACCCCTAACCCCACTGAAAGTGAACTATGTTCCAAGTAAGATTCAGCATTACAGGTCCTGGTTGATTCCTGGAGGCAAAAGGCCTATAGTTTGAGCATTAGATAGTTACAGACAATTGAAGTATTTCTTTTCTAAGAAGGTTTGGTTAAACAAGGCAGAATAGGTAGCATAAGGCAGTAGGAAGCCTCCAAATATAGTTCCAGAGAGGGATTAAAACTCCACCCTCCAGAGGCTAGTAATAGTACCAAAAGGAATAAGTGCTTCGGGGAGGTGGGATGCGAAAGGGGGATTCCGTGTCAGCAATCCTACTTGGAAGTTCCATAGTTATAGAAACTGCTGTTTTCAAATTGATAGCAGGCACAAAATAAGTTCCTTTTCCACCCTACCTACATAGCTATGATAGCATTCAGCTATAAGACAGGGATGAGCATTTTCTCAAATGGTTCAGTGCATAGCCTGTACACAAGTTCCAAGGCAAGGAAGGTTACACACACACACCCTCCTCTTAAGGTACCTTATACACCCCATACACCCATTTAAGCTTCGAGAGTTTAGGGCTGGATTTCCACCGAAACTTCCATTTGCAACCACAACTCGCTACCCCCTTCTTGGTCAATTCCTTTGAGGGCAGCTGAAAGTAATTTCTACTAGCTTTCAACTTATCTGGCCTAGGCCAGTATCAGAAAGGACCTGTGTTTGGACACAAGCTCTGCTCACTTACCTGAGTGGTTTGGCCAAGTACCTTGACTGTTCTAAATCAGGAAGGAAGGAAGGAAGGTCGGAAGGAAGAAAGAAAATTAATCTCTAAAGTCTCTTCCACTTCTAAATCCTATGGTTCTATGAAAGCAAAAATTAATCTACAATCAGTCAAGAAGCATTTATTCAGCACCTACTATATGTCAAGCACTGTGCTAAGCAATGGGGCAAAACCTCTCTCATTTTCTAAGGAGTTCACTCTACCTCACCCACAGAGGTGCTGGGTTCACCTGGGAAGGTAGAGGATTTAAGATCCTGCCAAAGGAATTATTAATAGGAAAAAAAACCCAAGAGTTACAATACTTGGGTGTCCAACCCAGAGGCCTATGAAACTCCAGGAAAAAATTCTATATTTCATTTTTAGTCACTCATAAAACAGGTCATCGATACCATAAAAGCTCGAAGGATCTGCATCTAATGTACATGGTGAACCTAAGAAGCAAGAAAATAATAGGTATGACAAAAAAGAGAAGGTGTAGAAGGCAGGGGTAGAAGAGTGCAGGTAGAATGGAAGGGAAAACATAAATAGTATAAATGACAGAGTACAACAGGAAAGAGATGGACTAGAAGTTAAGGTATGATCCATTTCTGGAGGAGAGAAAAAACAAAGAGAAAACAGATATGGTGTGATAACACCCTAAAAAGTCAGAACACTTTCTGTAAGGAGATCTAAAAATCACTTCTTATGCACAAACCAATTTAGAGGGGACAATGAAGAAATGGGAAAGGAGGTCCTAGAGATAAGAAAGGTCAAAGAATCATAGATGAGAGCTAGAAAAGACCTCATAAATCATATACGGTCCACCCCTCTCTAGTTGAGGAAACCAAGGGCTATGGAGGTTAAGTGACTTACCCAAAGTCACACACGTAAACTGTGGCAGAGGCAGAATTCAAACTCAGGTCTTCTACTGACTTTAAAATGGATATTCCTTACGCTGTACCAGATGCAAAAGAACAGGGAAAGAGAATTGAGAATGGGAGGAAATAATGGGATGAGATGGGGGGGAAGGGTAATAAATACTGGTGAAGAAAGAGGCTGAGGTTAAGGGGAGGACATAAGAGTCCTGGGGAATAAGATCGTGGCTCCGGCATCCAAGTGGGAGACAAACGAGGGGCTGGGGCTAGGGGCCGGGGAAGGGCCGAGACTGGGCAGGAGGACTGGGCTGCTGCGGCGCCCGGGCACAGGGAGCCCATCAGAGAGGAAGCAGCAAGCGGCCCTCGGGGATGGCACAAGCCGGGAGGCTGTTACTCACCAGCCTACACTCGAAGCGACCCTCGCCCTCGCCGGGATAAGCTGAGAGCGGCGGGGGCTCCGGCGGCCCTGGAGCTCCGGGAGTCGTCACGACACGGGGCCGGGTGTAACCGCCAAGCCCGACGGAACCCTAGAGACAAGACACTCCGGGAGGGAGGGCCCAGGCGGAACTCCGAGCACAGGCGCAGACGCGGCGGACTAAACCAACTCTCTAAAGAAGGAGGGGAATCCTTGGGAGACACCACCTCAAAGTGGGCGGAAAGGGGAAGACGCCAGCAGAGAGGAGAGTTAATCCAGTCAAGGTGTCTATCTTCAAGACACCGGCCTATCGGGGGAATCAGAACTTCTAGGCAAATCTGTACGAGCCAAAATGTGATAAAAGTACAAGAGAGATATTACTCTAGGTTTTCTAGGTACACTTGGCATCTCCTCTCCCCATAGATTCCAGGTGGCCGAGAAACCCAAATTCTATGTTTACAAGCCTAGCACCTAGACATAATGTATATACAGTGGATGCTCGGCATTTGTTGGATAACTGTCACAAAGTGCTATGAAGTTAACAGATATACCCCAAGGAAGCCATTGATAAGAATAAAGTTTCCATGTATACCAAAATATTTATAGCAGCACTTTTTTGTGATAGCAAAGAAATGCAAACAAAGCAAATGCCCATTGGCTGGGGAATGGCTAAACAAATGTATGTGAATGGAACCATGGAGTTTGAATGCAGATCGAAGCATACTATTTGCTTTTTTTTTCTTGTTTTGTTTTGTTCTTTCTTGTGGTTCCTCCTATTGGTTCTAATTCTTTACAATATGACTAATGTGAAAATATGTTTAATAGGAATGTATATGTAGAGCCTAAGCAGGGAGGGAGGGAGAGAAATTTTAAAACTCAAAAGCTTATGGAAGTGATTGTTGAAAACTAAAAATAAATTGATTTTTTTAAAAATGATATCTGGGATGAATACAGAGAAGCTGGGAAAGATCTATATGAATGGATGCAGAATGAAGTAAGCAGAGCCAAAAAAACAATATACACAGTGGCTACAACAATGTAAATAGAAAGAACAATGTCACATCAAAAACATCAGAAGTGAATTAATAAATTATAAGGATGAAGCAGGATTCCAATGAAGAAATATGATAGGATACCCTCAACCTACTGCTTTATAGAGGTGAGAGGTCCACAGGTGTTACACATTGCACATGTTTTCAGACTTTTTCAATGTATTGATTAGTTATGTCAATTTTTTTCTCTCTAAAAAAATACTATTTGTTACATGGAATAGCTCTATTGGAGAGGGAGAGGAAAGATGTTTGGGATATCTATAATGATGTAAGAAACAGAAGACAAAAATAAAAATTCATTTTGTATCCCAAAGAGATCAAACAAATGGGGAAAAGGACTCACATGTACAAAAATATTCATAGCAGCTTTTTGTGGTGGCAAAGAATTGGAAATTGAGGGGATGCCCGTCAATTGGGGAATGGCTGAACAAGTTGTGGTATATGAATGTAATGGAATACTCCTGTGCCATAAGAAATGATGAACAGGCTGACTTCAGAAAAACCTGGAAAGACTTGTATGGTGATGTTGACTGAAGTGAGCAGAACCAAGTACACAGTAACAGCCATGTTGTGCTATGACTAATATTGATAAACTTAACCCTTCCCAGCAATACAAGGATCTAAGACATCTCCAAAGGCCTCGTGATGGAAAATGCCATCCACATCCAAAGAAAGAACTATGGAATTTGAATGCAGATTGAAGCATACTCTTTGCTTTTTTTTCCCCCTCTTCTGTTGAGTTTTTTTCCTCTTTCTGGTGGTTCCTCCTATTGGTTCCAATTTTTACTTACAACATCACTAATGTGAAAATGTTTAATAGGAATGTATATATATATAGCTTATATCAGATTGTACGCCGTTTTGGGGAAGGTGGTGGGGAGGAAGGGGGAGAAAAATTTTAAACTCTAAAGCATATGGCAGTGATTGTTGATAAATCAAAATAAATTTTTAAAAAAATTTTTTAATTTATTTTGTAAAAAATGTTTAATGGAAGAGAAAGAATTCCATTCTATTTTAGGTTCTCATATGTTCTTATCTAACTGGTCTCTGTTTCCAGTCTCTTACCTCTTCCCTACATCCTTCACATAGTTGCCCAACTAATCTTCCCAACACACTCCCCATTCTCTACCAAATAAAGCAGTTATTCATTCAACTAGTATTATGTACCCATTATAAGCAGCAGCAGCTAGGTGGTACAGTGGATGGAGTACCTGGCTGGAAGTCAGAAAGACTCCTCTTCCTGAGTTTAAATCTAGCCTCAGATATTTACTAGCTGTGTGAACCTGGGCAAGTCACTTAACTTTGTTTGCCTTAGTTTTCTCATCTTTAAAATGAGCTGGAGATGGAAATAGCAAACCACTCTAATATCTTTGCCAAGAAAATCCCAAAAGGGGTTATGAAGAGTCAGACACCACACAACCAAAACAGCTAAACCATAAATGAGAAGCACTATACCACCAAAAAAAAAAAAAAGCTCAATGGATTTGAAGCCAAAAGAGCAGGGTTCAAATCTCAACTCTGCTATTTAGCTGCATGACCTTGGGCAAGTCACATAACCTCTCAATGTCCTCCTTTGTAAAATGAGGGAGTTGGACTACATAAGGTCCCTCTTAGCTCTAAATCTACAGTCCGATGAGCCAGTTACAGTATTTGAGATTTGATGACAAAGCAGGAACTATTGTCTTTCCCTTCAAGAAGACTGCATTCTATTGAGGCACAGTGGATAAAACACTGGCCCTGGAGTCAGGAGAACCTGAGTTCAAATCTGGCCTCAAACACTTGACACTTACTAGCTGTGTGACCTTGGGCAAGTCACTTAACCCCATTGCCTAGCCAAAAAAACAAAAACAAAAAACCTCACTACTCTGAATAAAAAAGTCTTGTGGACAAATTCTTTCAAGGCAGACTCCCTGTACCCTTGCATTTTGGGGTTCCCAGCACCTCAAACCACAATAGGCCTACACTTTAGGAATATCAGTTGTAGAACCTGAATTAAGAGGGTTGAGAGACAAGAGGCAGTGAGACCAATTAGGAGGCTACTTCACTGGTCCAGGCATAGATGAGAAAGACCTCAACTAGGGCTGCAGCTGTGCAAGTGGAGAGTGATACAAGAGATGTACTGGAAGCAGAAGTCTCCTCCTCTATCAAAGGAGAAAGCTGCACTACAGATGGCCTCTAGGGTCCCTTCCAGCTCTTCATCTAGGATTCCATGATCTTAAAACATGGCATGACTGATCAATCCTTACAGAAAGTGGGGTGGGAGTGAGGGAGAGTGGAGAGTTGAGGATGATAGCAGGTTGTGAACTTGGTGACCACCCAGCACGGTGATACCCTCAGACAGAACTAGGAAAGTTGTGGAGGAGAGAATTAGGGGAAGAACACACAGTTCCATTTTGTACCATATGATCATATCTCTAGTTTAAGTAGCAGTGGGACACCAGTTAACAATATTTATCATTATTGAAAAGTAGACGTATCCAACATGCAATTGGTGACGAAGGACTGGAACACAGAAGAGAGATAAAGGCTAGATATATACATTCAGAAGTCATCTGCATGGAAACAACAATTGAACTAATAATTGAATGCAATCACTGAACCCATGGCAGTTTATATGATCATCAAAAGAGAGACTATAGAGAAAAAAAAAAGGCAGCCCAGAATGAAGCCCTGGGTTACACTCACAAGTAAGGAGGTAGGCGAAGGATGATGATATAGCAATGAAGACTAAGAAGAGGTGGTCAGACAAGAAGGAAGAGGACCTAAAAGAAGCAATGTCATGAAAACACAGAGAAGAGAAAATACCCAGGAGAGAGGCCATGGTCAATGAGTCAAATCCTGCAGAGAGGTCAAAAAGGATGAAGACAGAGAAAAGGTCATTGGATTTATCAATTAAAATATCATTAAGAGTACTGATGATTTTAAAAAGTAAGAGGATAAAAATCAATACAAAAGAAAAACGGAAGATTCCCAAATGAGTGCCATATGCCTTAGGACACAAAGATATTGAGATCATTTTGCAAGATGTTATGACGCTTTGAGGAGTACAGACTAAGACATAGGAAGAAAAAGACAAAACCTGGCCTATTTTTATTAAGTTACCTGACCCTTCTAAAAATTCCTTGTAATATATAAGCTTCAGGAAGTACTTGGAAACTGATTAGCAGGCCTCTCTCCCAGAGGGTAATAATATGCTGCAATGGGTTAAAAGTGAGGGAGTATCTGGAGAAAAGTAATCAGAATTATAGGTAGTCAATAGTCAACCATCCATAAGCTAAGGAGGTCAGGACATAACTATCAGGACTATTCAATCTGTGATCAGACTTAACTATGATGTACTAAGAAAAATGGGAGAAGTGGTTACTTTGTATAGCCAGACAAAATTCACCAATAATAATATATATGTGTTTTGTATGCAACTATAGTTATATGAACTGTTTCCTTACTGTGACTGCAGTATTGATATGCATGCTTACATGCAATGTTTTATCTAGACTACTGATTTTCAAGTCTCTGAAATATACTATTGAGATACATATATATACATACATACATATATATACATATATACACATATATACATACATATACATATATACACATATATACATATACATATATATATATACACACATATACATATATATATATGTCTTCAATTGTAGGACACATAATACAGTATATAGTGAATGCCATGCAAAAGGTATATTATACCTTGTACTGAACCTGGGTAACTATAGACTATGAGAAGTAAGGCTGCATCTTGTTCAGACTACAGTGTATCTTGTAAAGGGCGATACCCATTCAGACATGAGGATCATTTTGTACACTGCAAAGAATGTGAAATTTTTAGTAGCTAAGGAAAGGCCAGGAAAGCAACTAAACAGTCATCTTAAACAACGACTTAAACTGTTTCTAGATTTTTCCCCCCAACCACTCATTTGCATGAATCAACAGGAGAGACTTAGAATTTTTATAAGTGGGGAACTTTAAACCCCTGTGCTATTTGGCGATTATTGGACAGTTATTGTCTAGTTATGGCTTAACCTGCAGAGATGAAGATTTAGGAAACGTACTGTATAATTACCTTAAGTTAGGGTG